ATCCCTATATGGGATCTGAACCCGTGGCCTTGGTGTTATCAGCACCGTACTCTCCCGAGTGAGCCACAGGCCGGCCCTAGTTTACCTTCTTTAAAAAATGCTTGTAATTCTATAAAGGAAGAATAGGAGAGGAATGAAAGCTAACGGTGAATATTCATGCAATAAAAACAGGGGGATAGACATTTTTGGAAAGGAATTGTCCTCAAATAATAACCCTTAGAAATTACACTTCTCCATAGGTATGTCTTCATAGGTATCCATATTAATGGATAAATCGAAGCTTTACATTTTACCAATCAATTAGGGGTTATTTTCTGCCAGATGCACTATTATGCTGCTGGGTTCAAAAAACTTTTTCTATTTTTCTGTCCATTCACAGACAGAAGAAAAATTTTTTTTCTTCTCAATTTAGCTTTCTAATTCTATATTTAGTTTATTTCACATCACTAATTTGTTTTAAAAGAGCAGGCACATTAACTTAAAAAAAAAAAAAAAAAACTAACAGGAAACTATTTTTCACTCAGAGATTTGGTTAGACAGCAAGTAGCTAACCCTGCAGGTGAGTCAGGCATATAAAGCTTTTTAGGGAGGATCGTTTTGGGGGACTGGCTGCCAAAGAGCAGGGATGGGTGTAGATGGAAAACAGCAGCCTTATTGCCCCAAAATATATTTGATTAGGATACCTCAGAGATATGTCTGGAAAGTTCAGTCCTCTTTGTAATTCCATTCTATCTTAAGTCCATTAGACAGTATGTTTTGCTAGAAGACTTTAGGTTTTGTCTTCATTGTCATTTCTGTGGTTCACAAGACAAATATATTTTATAACAATGGAATTCTCTTAACTATTTGGGCTTAGTTTCTATTTTATATTTACTTTCACTTTTTCTTAATGTTTTTTTTCTTTTCTATTTGCTATTTCTCCTGAGTTGTCTGACTTCCTTTTGTGTGTGTGTGTTTGTTCTGCTGTGCTTCCTCTTTTTTCTGCTTTTCCAGAAGATCTTGGTAGTAGAAAGTAATAAGGGCCCGTGTACTTTCAAATAGTTTTTAAACATTTATCTGGTATAAAAGGGAAATTCTATTTCATCATATGCCCTCAGTTTCCTTTTTGTGAATTCAGATTTTACAAAAGACCAGTTCCAAAGGGGTAATACAAATCACTGATGATTTTTTCCTAGACTTCTCAGCTGCGGTCATATCACTTTCTGTCCCCTGAATAAGCTACCTGGAAGGAAGAGATTATTTCACAAATTTATTTTATATTTTCTACATTGTCAATCACAATGTTTTCAAAAGGTTAGTCACCTGCACCAGATTCACCTGGGTGCTGGTAAAAATTTATATTTACCAGCCCTACTCCAGGATTACAGAGTCAGATTCTTTGGAAGTGGCGCTCAAGAATCCACAATTTTTAACAAGCTCTCTTGATGTTTCCTCTAGGCACCAATTTTTGAGAATCACGATTGTAGCAATATATCCAGCAAGTAATAGGTCCTCAATAACTATTTGATGATTGATATACTATCCCCTTACTAACTTGTAAATATTTCTCTCATGTGTTGAACTTTTTCCTATGCCTTAGCCCTGCATTTTCAATCGTTGCCTGGATATGCTTACTTAAATGTTTTTTCATCACAGATGCACTCAACACATCTAACAATAAACCATCTACTGGATGTCTCCAATTCTGGCATCATGCTATTGTTATCCCAGGAGTCATCTTTGAAGTCATTCCTTACTCACTGTGTTCCACAATTTTTACTTAGCATATTGGCCACACAAGGGTACATCAAAAAGTTCATGGAAAAATAACACTAGATAACACAAATCTTTCCATTTTTGAAGACACCTCGTAGTGCCAAACACTGGGAAAGACAGTGATGACCAAGACAGACATGGGTCACACCCTCAAGGATCTTAAAAGTTTCCTTTACAGGATGACTTAATCCTATAGAATCTTTAATTTTTTTTTTTCAGAATACTCCCTTACATTCCTTGTCACCACCCTAATGTAGAATCTTATCACTTATGGCTGGACTGCAATCATTTTTTCCCTCATTTCTTTGCTCCTAATCTCCCAACTCTTCTGAAAAATTAATCTGCTGAAAACTTAATCTTCAAAACATTAGAAATGTTTTTACTCCACTTAATGCCTTCTTGTTTGTAATTGTTCATAAGCTATTTTCCAAACTAGATTCAAGGGTCTTTACAATCTGGTCCCCAGATGAATGTCTCCTGAGAAAACTCTTCTATCCCTATAAAATAGATATCTGCACTCAATGTAAGCAGTTTTACTTTATTTTCTGGGCTCATGACCTTAATTACACTTTCCGATCAACCAAGCCGTATTTTTCTTGTAAGGCCTAATTCCTTCCCGACAAACATGGCTGGTTCTCAGTACTTGTTCTTGTTTCAGCTCCTATGGTGATTCTCTACTTTACTCACTAAGCATTTAGCATGTGCTTCTTGGCATCATTTTAATTTATTTTTCTAATTCCTCAATTCTATTAGCTTCCTGAATGTATATTTTATAAACTTCTTTCTGTTCCTTGCCTCGTCCAGGCTCATGTGTAAGATTCAATAAATATTCATTAAATTCATCACATTCATTTATTTACTCATTCCTTCATCAAATCATTATTGAATGCCCAATGAAAACCAGTGTGGCCCTTGCTTTCATGGAGCTTACAATTTAGCTGGGGAGACAGACATTAAACAAATAATAAAAACAAAAATGAGATAACTAGCTTAATTCATTTGTTAGTAAAGAAATGTTTAATAAGCACCTATGGTAGGCCAGGCATAGTGTACAATATAAAGCTGAAGCTGATGGGCTAGTAGAAGAGAATAACATATAAGTCACTAAAATACAATGTTATACGTACAAACAAAATAACCCAGGAACACAAAGAAGGGTGCAACTACCGCTGCAAAAGAGAATCAGGAAGGCTTCACATTTCATTTGGGTCTTGAAAGTAAAAGAATTGAAAGTAAAGAAAGCATTGGATAATACAATATTCTTACAAGAAGGGCAGTTCTTGGGAAATCTGGTAAGCACATTCCTACGTCATTATTCTGAGCAGAAACCAAAGCTAAACCCAAAAAAACTGAGAATACACGGTGAGCAGCTAAGAAAGAGTCCAAGAGGATGGCAGCCTTGTGACGGCCCAAGTAAATAGCTAGGTCTGGGTGGCTGGGCCTTCATCTAGGCCCTTCCATGGTGGCCCTGCTCCACTGAGAATACACGGTGAGCAGCTAAGAAAGAGTCCAAGAGGATGGCAGCCTTGTGACGGCCCAAGTAAATAGCTAGGTCTGGGTGGCTGGGCCTTCATCTAGGCCCTTCCATGGTGGCCCTGCTCCCGCAGCACCATAGCCGCTCTGAGGGAAAGCCCCTAGTTGCCTCTCTAGGCTTCTTCAACACCTTGGACAGAATTAAACTTGGGATCATTTCCTCTAAGAACCACTGAATGATAAAATTCAGTTCAGTTGCTTCTAACTTACGTCCTCTATAATCTTAGGGATTTTAAACGGGGCAAATGAAAATAAATCTGTAACCAATTTTCAGTATCCCCAAAAAGCCCACCAGAAGTTGTACATTTCCCGGTGGTATTAAATGCCAGGTTTCCTTGTTTTGTGCTAGAATTATATCAGATCCACATTAAACCGAGGTTCTGAGTTGTCTTCCGATTAAGTATAATTTGTTTTTCCATTCTTGTTATGTTTATTTTGGTAAGTAAACTTTTCAAAATACAGCAGCGAGGTCATGGTCGAACTAACAAAAGTGGTAACAATGTTTGCAAGTTACAAAACACTTTTCACGAACTTCATCTTAATTTATTCTTCACAACGCTGTGGAATCGATTCATATCAGAAGAGCAGAGAGGTGCTGACTCAGTCCAGTGCTTTTCACAACTGCTCCGAGACTCTCGGTTCTTCCTGTGTGTCCCCAGCACCTTCCTTCTCCGACTCGGAAGCGCCCGTAGAGCCTTCGTCATCAGGTCACACCTCCCGCACCTCGGGACACAGCAGCAGCCGCCTCTCGCTCTCGCTCTCTGGGAAGGCGGCTCGCTCGGACGCATGCGTGATACAGAGACTCCGCGCCTGCGCCGCTCTCCACCCGGGGCGTACACCCTGGGTAAGCCGCGAAGGACTGCGTCCGGGACGCGCGTGCGCAGTCGCTTTTGAGCGCTACTCACCCCCCACCTCCAAGCCACCCCGCCAGCCCTACCATTCATTCCACTCTCCTCTACTCTTCCACTGTATTAAGAGGGCCTGCCCTTCCGATACGTCACGAACGAAAACAGCTTTCGACAGGGAGACTCCCGGCGCCCGACCGCAGCGTCGTCGAGGGCGCACCGTGCGTGTCTGAGCGCCGCCCGGCTGCGTCCGTAGTTGTATCCCGCGCCGCTCCCGCCCTTTCCGCCTCTCGCGCGCGCGCACGGCTGGCCACGGCGCGCCTGGGTTGGCTGCGGCGGGACCGCGGCGGCGGCGGCTTCGGGAGCGGTAGTGGTTTCTCCTCTGCTTTATTAGTTTCCTCCGCCCCCTCCGGTCGGAGGCTGTTGTGCGGTTGCCTTAAAAAAAAAAACCCAACTTTATTGTTC